GCCAGACTAAGGTATCGTTTGGATACATTCAGCGGAGAGTTTGGTGAGAAAATCCAATCCACTGCCTTCCAAAATCGATAACTACCCTAGATTCATAATCGGCATCCAGCAAAGTTAGCGGCGCCGGTGGTGTAGTGGTAAGCGTGATTACCTCTCACCCCAGCAGGCCTGGGTTCAATCCCAGTCGGCGCCGCCAGGATGTTCTGAGGCATAACATTTCTGATCAGGCCTTCCTTCGGAAGGGAAGTAAAGCCGTTGGTCCCCGGTTCATGAGTTTGATGGGTCGATAGGTAGGATCTAGGTGTGGGATCTGCCTTCTTGGCGCCGGTAGCATTGGTGCTCAGCACGGAAAACAAAATTGACGGAAAACAAACCAAAGGAAAAAAAATCCAGCAAAGTTGACACAACTGATACCTACAGTCAGTGTTGTAAGCGGTCACCGTTTTCGACGTGATTTTTGTGATAATCGACTGCCTTTGCTTCCGACGCTTGCAAAACAAGCTATCAAAGTACAGTACCAAACTAAAATGTCAAATGACAGTCTCTGTCATACGACACTGGCGCTGAAGATCGTCACGTATTTATGTATATTAGTTTTTCTCATAATAAGAGCTTCTAATGCTGTGCTTGTGCGAATTCTGAAAATAGCAAACAAAGATGTCCTAGTAATTCACTATTTTTCCATAAAAGGTGAAAAACTTGCCATATACAATCGGCTTAAATAATTTTAGTAAACAAACTAACACTTCTTCCTTGTGTGTCACCTTTGTATTAACCGCCTATGTCGCACATGACTACGAAGCGAGTGTAGTAGAAAACGTTAAAGCTGAGCTTAGACAGGGCAAGTCAATTGATCAAGTCAGTTGAATTCAACTGACTTGAACGCGAATTAAACGTGTAAACGATGCCATTCCAATGCCTTGATCAACTCACTTGAATTGAAAAAAAAGTTGAATCAGGCTCAACTTTTCAAGCCAATTGAATTCAACTGAGTTGATCATTTGACTTGCCTAGTCTAAACCCAGCTTAACCGTCTCAACCCCTACATTTTCGAAGCTCTAAAATGAACTCGAGTTTTGTTTCTCTCATACAATGTGACCAACGCTTCATTTCTATATGTTTTTAGATACGTGGATGGAAGATAAATTAGACATATTACATGAAATCTTCAAGTGTTTTCACGTGAGAAGTGCTTTAAATATATAATTGCATTTTCCGTCATATACGTTATCAACCTCTGTGGATGTGTTTCATGAAAGACGAAACTATCAAAGTCGAGCGCTCTTTCGCTCGTTCGTTTCACCGAAGCTTGAAAAAAAGACCAATGGAACGACGGAAGAAAGAATCGATTTGCTCGATTGAAGCTGACGCCCTGCCCCTGTCTACACTACTACGGAACAAGTAACATGAACTTCTGTTCACATATTGGTAAACGATTGAGGACAGTAGCGATTGCTAGGTTATGATTCCAGATCAAGCATCATGATCGTTGATCATGAATGTTCGTTCTAGAAGAAAATCTCCAACTATTCCAAGCGGTACGGCACTCAGAATGACTATGCCTAGGACGAATACTACTTTCAATCGAATTCGACACCAATAGCACAAACGAAGTGACAGACGGAGCGGCTCGAAAACTTTGGTGACTAACCTGCTATTGCAATTTTTCAGTGTACCACATGGCAACACCACTACTACTGGATTGTACCACATGGCAACACTACTACTGGATTGAACTAGCATTTTCACCAGATGTACTAGAATGTTTTGGTTCTATCTCTTTCACTCTACTCAAAACTGAAATGCATAAAAAAATGACAAAATGATACGTACTCTTTGCACACTGTCAAAGAATCATTGTACACAAAATCAACTTTGTTCAAATCAAAACAAAAAAACTAACCCATCTGGTGGATGATGGCACAAGCTTCCAAGAAAATTCTATTACAGTGAACCACATTATTTAAATGGATTTCTTCGCCAGTTAGTCGTCTGTCACTTCGTTTGTGCAAATAGGGTTAACTACGTCATTCGCGACCTATTAAGCACAACCCGCACTTAGCCTTTCTTCATCTAGCGTAGTTTAGCACCAAACGGAATGTTATTATTAGAGATGGCTTGCAAATGTCTCTACCTTTCCATATGTACCGTTAGTGTTGATAAAAGGCCGTGAAATATTCGTTTATTGTTGAAAATGCAAAACTGCTTCTGGTGGCTCAACTTGGCCTACGGGTTTTCTTGGGCCTATTAGCCATTGAAACGCCGTTGGAATTCTCTTTGGCCTATCGAACGGAAAGAAAAGTGAATTCGCGTGCGCCTTTTGTACACTTCAAGTGCGCCTATTGCTTTCGAGATCTTATTTTGCGTTCTTCAACAGTTCGTCTTACCTGCTACAAAGAACTTGAGCTACTTTATGTTCCATTTCACTTCGTGTACACATTTAAGTATGATGCTGGTTGCAAACAAACTCAGTTTTCAACCGGAGCTTATTTGATTGCGTTTGTGAAATCAAGCTGAAAATTGCCTTTAGGTCCTAAGTGACATTGACAGATTCTCTTCGTCGGCTTTCACTATGCATCGTCACGGCAATGTTAATACTTTCCCAGCTATTTTCAGTACACATATTGGCGAAAGAAGCTATTATCTAGCTTCTAATACGACGAACACGTCAAGAAACGGTTCTGTATTCAAGTTATTAGCGAAAGAAAAAGTCGATGAAGAGAACCGATCAATGCTACTTAGGACGTAATGCATTGTGCAGCTTGAAATGTGTATACGTATAGATCTGAGTGAGATGATGGATATGTGATTGTTACTTCAGCCCAAGCTCAATGACAGCGGAAGCGGACCGGCAGCGGCAGCGGAAGCCCGATCTGAGTAAGCCTACTTCCAGAACAACATGTGAAAAGGGCATACAAGCTTTTTGTAAACAAACCTTTGTAGGCCCTTTTCTCACCAACCGAGGGTCGCCCACGCAAACCAGCAATATCATCGGGAAGGGGAAAGTGTCCCCTACCCGGTGATGTTAAAGGTTTGCGTTGGTGTCATATGGGTGGCGAGAAAAGGGCATAAGAAGGTTTGTTTACAAAAAGCTTGTATGCCCTTTTCACATGTTGTTCTGGACTTGTCAGATTGAAAACTAGTAAGAACCAAATCAACTTCGGTCAGGCATCTTGATATCATTTGTGACAACTGTCTTATTTGCCGTTTCCGTCCAGCTTCCGCCCACATTGCGTTTGGGTCTTAAGTGTAAGAACATAGAGGTACCATTGTTTGCGGATGGAGTTTTAGCTACCAGAGAGTGAAAATCAGCTATTTTTATGACCGTTCACTCATATTGAGCGTTCACGAATCATAGAATCGCTCATTGTGGAGCATTTTTAAATATTGTTATGTTGGTAACATTGATTTGCATGACTTTGACAGTCGGATTATCGGATCAACCCCGGTAATCTGTCCACAAATTTGCCGGATTAGCGAGGAAATACTGTATGAGGTAAAAATAGTACTGAATCAGTTAGCATAGAAGTGATTATCAAAATAGAAAGTCGAGGTTGAGAATCGATCAAAGAAAATATGACCTTGAAACGATAATCAATCCTGTTATCATCGAGTTGGGTACGATTTTCTGCCTAGTGCTTCCCGATCTCGACGCCTAATACAAAGGTACCACAGAAGGAAGAAGTGTTAGTTTGTTTACTAAAATGAACTAAACGATTGTAAACCATTTTTCCGATAATCAATCCTCCTCGTGTTTATTCGTGAAATTCATATCACTGGCGTAGGAAATCAATTTGGCAAGATATTTTTGACCAGCATACACCTTCTGGTCTTATGAAACAGGTCCAAATTTGTCCAACTTCACGCGTAAACTTTTATGTTCTGGCACCTTTTATGGTAAAATAGTGAACTTTGCATGTAACTCACCAACACAAGCAAATAACTCACCAACACTAGCGAACCGTGTGTACTTGACCACCAATACATCTATCCATCTAGCTTCTTGATGCTTAGCTTATCGCTTAGCTGCGGAACACAAAAAATATAGAAGATTGGTATCAAACCTTCAAGCAACAGCAAAATCGGTCGTTTGTTTTGATACCAGTGAGATATTTCAAGAAAATGTTCAACACGGCGAGTGACTTTGTGCTAGGACACAGTTTTCAGCTCCATTTCATCTGCAAGTGGCACCAGGCAAAATATCTAGCTCTACTTGATATATTGTTCTGCACACTTAAAAATAACAAATTTGACACGTGACGGTATCCATCTTTGACATAAAGGATGAGACGTAAACACACATGTCATGTAAAATTAAGTACTCCCAGACTGAAAAGTTCATTTCTCGCTGAAAAGTATGCTTGATTGAGCTGAATTTTGCGTCTGTTATGACTTCATTTTATGTCAACATTAACGCTAGTAAATGTCCCAAATCGTCTGTGGAAACTGGTATGCGAATTATTTTAGTCACAGTAAAGTTACTGCAACTTTTCGTTTTCGTGCTCTTAGTATTGCGGATGTTAAGAAATTTTCCACCCGGCGGCTACCGTAGAGTTCTACCCACGGGGGCAAAAATCAAGAATTTCTTCGATGCTCACTTCAATGTGATGAATATAGGGGTTGCATATTTGCAATTTGTCTATGTTCTTAAGAATTCTGTTATACTGTTGTACTGTCGTCTGTTGTATTTTATTAGTTTCAGTGCCAAGTATTGAGAGCTGTCCTGTCTACTCAAGGACTTCAAAAGCTCAATGATCAACATTATTTACGTGAACTACTATTACTCTTCTGAACGTCTTCACTCAGTGCAACTTCTTCTGGAAGAGCATTGGTGAAAAGGTGTCTCCGACTGTGAATCAAATTTAATTTCCTTCCAAACCCAGATTATAACAAAGCTATTATCCCGAAGTTATTCGATCTGATCATTTCCGCGACTGCCAAAATCTAACTATTTCTAACGCCAAATTACCATTCTCATTCTCCCCCCGGTCCAAAAACAGCGTCATGCCACCGGCGTACTTTGACCATCAGGAACCGTTCCTGATGCCGTACAGCATGGACTTCCACCACGGATTCCCCGGCTCCGGACACGACATGTACCCGATGGGACTCGGCGCTCACCTGGGACACCACGACGGCCCATCGGCTCTGCACGCCGCCGAAGGTGGACTCGGTGCCGCCAGCAACGTCAACGCCGTCGTCGACACGAACCAAGCTGCGGACAAGTCGGCCACCGTCGGATCGCCATCCAGTGGAGCGTCCTCGCCAGCGGCCAGCAACAACGACCAGCGTCATCACTTCCCAGGCGGTAAGATCAAGCGACAGGACTTTTACCCAACAGTGGCCCAGACCGGAAAGTACTACTAGAGAACATCCAAAACAGAAGCCCTCCGAAGCGAATAAGAACCAGTCAGTCAACTTGCAATGTCGCGACCATGTCGAATGACAGTCGTTCGACAGACCAATCGAGAGAAAACGAGAAGCCAAAGCCACCCGTTGTTGTGAGAAGAAGACATAGATTTCTACCTCCAAGTCCAAGTCGCGCCGCCACCAGTCCCTGAATTGAACCTCCCATCCCCCTCGAAAAAAATAACGATGATTATTTCCGGAGAGAGATCATACCCCCCCAATCAGAAGCTGATATAGAACTGTTTAGTACGTAGTCATAGTATTTATGGTGGCTTTCGTCCGAGCCCGTTTTTTACTGGTCCCCGATTGAAAGCTTTCCATTCTGTTGTAAAATTGTTTTCAATCGCCCCTCCGCTGTAGAATGCTATTACAAACTAATTATTTATTTATTTATTAATGAACTGGGAAATTGAAAATTACAATCCGTGTTCCGCGTTTTCCACCCACATCCGAAAGCCAGTTTAATTTCGAAAGCAGCTTCTCAACTAGAGCGGTACCATACTTCAAACTAATCGATTGGAACGGATTTCACTTCCTCCATGCAAAGCAGAAGCAGATCCGTGAATCCGTGTGTTGATTGGGGAAGGCAAAGGCGACGACGCCCAGATTCATTACCAGAACAATATATCACGGATACGTTTAAACCCGGTTCGTTGCAGCGGAACAGGCACCACCGATGAGAAAAGCTCCAACATCTACTCTTTCCTTGTCTGTCTATGCATTGCCAGCAGTTAGTCATTCTGCTCAAACAGATGTAGCTGAAAATTACATCTAATTTATAAGGTGGATAACACGCGGAGCTTAATCATCCAACCGGACAACCGGATCAGCACGGCAGCCCACGCCGATGGTACCGTGCGAGCATTTCACGGCTAGGTGGGTGGGGAAAGTTAGTTTGGAAAACTTGCTGAAATGGGGAGGAACAAGATGAGCTGAATAGTTATGTTCGCAAATTATGCTGCTACGTTCATTTTATTTTATAGCTAGAAATAAATGTATAAATTGTTGCATTGTTCTTCGTACTTGAAAGGTTAGTACCACTTGCTTCCAGATGAAGATAATCTTGCAACAAGTAGTTATAATTGCATATTGTATGCAATCATGTTTCGCTATGGAAATTGAACGATTTCGTTTCTTTTTTGGAAAATTGGAGTGTGAAAAAAGCAACACGAATAGAAGCATTGTCATATTTACTCCACCATGCAAAAACGGTTCAAAATCGGAACCAGTATATCTTCTAAAAATTTGAATTAATTTGGTTCAAGACGAGGCTCGGTAGTTTAGTGGTTACCGTTTTTGATTACTGAGCAGAAGTTCGCGAGATCAATCCTACGAGCCTAGAATCTCTTTCCTTGCAATTTTTCACTATGCCTAATTTTCACCCCCCTTGATTTGCCATGCACTTATTACGAATGATTATAAACATATTTTATTTTATGTTTTCTTCAGAGCATCTCAGAAATACCTTACGAAATCATGAAGAATACACGCAAAACTAATATGTATGACATTGACTGTGATGATTTTTTTTTATCATGCTTATTTCGTGTTCTCCGCTTTCAACTATACTGCAAAGCTATTAATTTATAAAATTGTAGAACGACACAAACACTGCCACGACTCCCTTCAATTCCCGTTCAGCAGAAAAAGCATGCGAAGTGGAAATGAGCGCTGCTTATTCGCTTTTAGCCTATTCAAATTCTGAAGTATGGAGAGAGCAGTGCACAGTGCAGTAGTCCAGAAAGCAAAATTAGGTGGAATAAATTAATAACTCGAAAAATATAAGAGATAGCTTATTGATGTCTTCTAAACATATTCTTGTGAGCTCTATTCGTGTTGGTTGCAAAAGTGCCCTAAACGTAAAATTGTACCAGTAATGTAATTTGGTATCTAACTATTTTTATTTCAATAGATTAATTGGTCATAGGCTGACAGGGAAGGGGGGGGGGGGTTTGCTTCGGCAAGCCTAAGGGTCTGTCCTCCAGGAGGAGCGGCTCACAACAGCATCTGTTCCCCATGTTAGGGGCGGATGATCTACGTCCGAGTGTCAGTGAAGGACTCTAAGCACAACTGTGCACCCTGGTCCTCCGGAAAGTTAGGGGGTTGGTGTCAAGCCCTGCGAACCAGCCGTAAAAAAGCATTGCAACGGAAAATCAGCAACAGAGGAATACGAACCGAGACCAACGGCAACGACCCCATTGACGAAATAGGACTTGCGATTGGAAACTCAGCACGTGGAACTGTCGATCTCTCAATTTCATCGGGAGCACCCGAATACTCGCCAATCTACTGAAGAACCGCGGATTCGGCATCGTAGCGCTTCAGGAGGTGTATTGGACAGGATCCATGGTGCGAACGTACCATCTACCAGAGTTGCGGCAACACACGCGAGCTGGGCACAGCTTGCATCGTGATGGGCGAAATGCAGAAGCGCGTGATCGGTTGGTGGCCGATCGACGAAAGAATGTGAAGGTTGAGGATCAAGGGCCGATTCTTTAACTTTAGCTTAATCAACGTGCACAGTCTAACGGCGCCAGTAGTGTAGTGGTAAGCGTGATTACCTCTCACCCCAGCAGGCCTGAGTTCAATCCCAGTCGGCGCCGCCGGGATGTTCTGAGGCATAACATCTCTGATCACGCCTTTCTTCGGAAGGGAAGTAAAGCCGTTGGTTCTCGGTTCATGAGTTGGTGGGTCGATAGATGGGTCCAGGTGTGGGAGCTGCCTTCCTGGCACGTCGGTAGAATTGGTGCTCAGTACGGAAAACAAGATCGACGGAAAACAAACCAAAGGAAAAAAAAAAAAACCTGCACAGCCCAAACTCCGGAAGCACTGATGATGGCAAAGACACATTTTACGCGCTGCTCGACCGCGAGTACGATCGCTGCTCAAGCCACGACGTCAAGATCATCATAGGAGACCTAAACGCTCAGGTAGACCAGGAGGAGGAATTGAGACCGACGATTGGAAAGTTCAGCACCCACCAGCTGACGAACGGGAACGGCCTACGACTCATCGATTTCGCCACCTCCAAGAACATGGCCATACGTAGCACCTTCTTCCAACACAGCCTCCCCTATCGTCACACCTGGAGATCACCACAGCAGACGGAATCGCAAATCGACCACGTTCTGATTGATGGACGGCACCTCGTCAGGACCTATCGTGGCGCTAATATCGACTCTGACCACTACCTGTTGATGGTTAAACTGCGCCCAAAACTTTCCGTCATCAACAATGTACGGTACCAACGCCCGCCACGGTACAACCTAGAGCGAATGAAACAACCTGATGTCGCCTTAGCATACGCGCAGCGTTGCCAGAGGAGGGCGAGCTCGATGTGCCCCCTGTAGAGGACTGCTGGAGTACAGTAAAAGCAACCATCACCGACGCAGCCGAGAGCACCATCGAGTACGTGGAAAGAAGTCGACGGAATGAATGGTTCGACGAGGAGTGCAGAGCGATTTTGGAGGGGAAGAACGCAGCGCGGGCGGTAATGCTGCAGCATGGGACCCGACCGAACGTGGAACGGTATAAACAGAAGCGGAAACAGCAGACCCGCATCTTTCGGGAGAAAAAACGCCGCCTGGAAGAAGCGGAGTGCGAGGAAATGGAACTGCTGTGCCGTTCCCAAGAAACACGGAAGTTCTACCAAAAGCTCAACGCCGAAATGTGCAAGGATAAGGGCGGGAGCCTCTTGACGGACGGACGTGAGGTGATTGAAAGGTGGAAGCAGCAATTCGATGCGCACCTGAATGGCGAGGAGAACGTAGGCACGGGAGACCAGCGCAATGGAGGAAACGACTACGTCAGTGCAGCAGAGGACGGAACTGACCTAACTCCCACACTTAGGGAAGTAAAGGATGCCATTCAGCAGCTCAACAACAATAAAGCAGCTGGTAAGCATGGTATCGCAGCCGAACTCATCAAGATGGGCCCAGAAAAGTTGACCACCTGCCTGCACCGGATGATAGTCAGGATCTGGGAAACAGAACAGCTACCCAAGGAGTGGAAAGAGGGGGTAATCTGCCCCATTCACAAGAAAGGCGACCATTTGGAATGTGAGAACTTCAGAGCAATCACCATTTTGAATGCCGCCTACAAAATACAGATCATCTTCCGTCGTCTATCCTCCAGAAATGCCGTGAATACCAGGTCCCAACGCATCATTTGTTCATCGACTTTAAGGCGGCATACGACAGTATCGACCGCACAGAGCTATGGAAAATCATGGACGAGAACGGCTTTCCTGCAAAGCAACGATGGACGGTGTGCAAAACTGCGTAAGGGTTTCGGGTGAACTATCCAGAACATTCGATTCTCGCCGGGGACTGCGACAAAGTGACGGACTCTCATGCCTACTCTTCAACATCGCTCTAGAAGGTGTAATGCGACGAGCCGGGCTCAACAGCCGGGGTACGATTTTCACGAAATCCGGTTAATTTGTGTGCTTTGCGGACGACATGGACATTATCGCAAGAACATTTGGAACGGTGGCAGAACTATACACCCGCCTGAAACACGAAGCAGCAAAGGTCGGACTGGTGGTGAGTGCGTCAAAAACAAAGTACATGCTAGTAGGCGGAACCGAACATGACAGGATTCGTCTAGGAAGTAATGTCACGATAGACGGGGATACTTTCGAGGTAGTGGAGGAATTCGTTTACCTTGGATCCTTACTGACGGCTGACAACAATGTGAGTCGTGAAATACGAAGGCGCATCATCAGTGGAAGTCGTGCCTACTACGGGCTCCAGAAGAAACAACGGTCAAAAAAGATTCACCCCCGCACCAAATGTACCATGTACAGAACGCTAATAAGACCGGTGGTCCTCTATGGACACGAGACATGAACTATGCTCGAGGAGGACCTGCAAGCACTCGGAGTTTCCGAGCGACGTGTGCTAAGGACGATCTTCGGCGGTGTGCAGGAGAACGGTGAGTTGCGGCGAAGAATGAACCACGACCTCGCTGCACTCTACGGCGAACCCAGCATCCAGAAGGTGGCCAAAGCTGGAAGGATGCGGTGGGCAGGGCATGTTGCAAGAATGCCGGACAACAACCCTGCAAAGTTGGTGTTCGCTACTGATCCGGTTGGCACAAGAAGGTATGGAGCGCAGAGAGCACGATGGGTGGAAGAGCTAGAGCGTGATCTAGCGAGTATTGGGCATGACCAAGGATGGAGAGCGGCAGCCGCAAACCGAGTATTGTGGAGTACTATTGTTGATTTTTTTTTCCTTTGGTTTGTTTTTTCCGTCGATCTTGTTTTCCGTGCTGAGCACCAATGCTACCGACGTGCCAGGAAGGCAGCTCCCACACCTGGACCCTACCTATCGACCCATCAACTCATGAACCGGGGACCAACGGCTTTACTTCCCATCCGAAGGAAGGCGTGATCAGAGATGTTATGCCTCAGAAC